TGCACACATGTGTTAGATATTTGGAACATTGGGTAAATATGACAATTATCTTTGGGTTCTGATTTTCTGAAGAAATTATTACACTTTTTTTTTCTTTTGGTTAGAAAAAAATCCCTAAAGTATTTATGAACAGTCATTTAGTAATTTGGGTGACATAGTTTTGGGATCTTGTGTTATCATTGACAGATTTATAAAGAAAGCTTTGGAAAAGTGAGGCACTAACTTTCTATGTCCTGGGAGCCAACAGGTGTTGCTCAAAATTATAGCTAGAATTTTTGTCACTATCTCGAATTCAGTGATTAAATACTTAACTTTTATATATATGGGTGTAGATACACATTGTTAAAAACAATCTTTTTATTGAGCGCTTTCGTGTTTGCTAATGCTTTGTCTACAAAATCATATGGGATTTGCACTCAATTCATTTTTCCCTCTCTGCCTTTTGTATATCTTTAAATTATCTCAGCATACTGTCTTTTTGTCTGTTGTCTTGTCTTAGGAATTTAATATTGTCGGCTTTTCTTTATGCATGTGACACTGCTTCTCAGAATATTATTTTTTGTTTTTTTAATATTGCATTCAGTTTTGATGAATAAGAACAAAAATGTTAAGAGCTCTCTCTCTCTCTCTCTCTCTCTCTATATATATATATATATATATATATATATATATTTCTGAAACTGTTTTGTCCTGAAATAACCTGTCTTTAACTCATTTATTATTCCCTTCAGATTTGCAAATGAAATTTATAAGCTGTTTTCTTTTGTTATTTCTCCTTATCTCTCAAAGATCCCCACTAAATTATTTATACTCAATTTTTTTTTTTACTTCTTCCAGCTTTACAACACAAACATACCTTAAAATTTATCATATGAGCACAAACCATTTCATACTATCAAATTTGGTATAAGGATGTCCTATAGGATTAAACAGTCAACATTTAATTTTTATATTTTTTTTTATACTAAATTTATATTTATATCAATAAATTTAATTATTAAAGTCCAAACCAAATTTACTTTTAGTTCACCAAAATTTGTTCTTAATAAAAGAAAAAAATATTAAGATGGTGATTTTTATGATTTATTGAAAAAAATTACATGTGTGGATTTTTATGATTTATTTAATAAATCACAAAAATTCACATGCAATGTATACAGAGTGCAATGGATAAATCATCAAAATTACGCAAAAATGAAAATAATACTGACATCTTATTTTAACAGATATATTTACCAAAATTACACAAAAAATATCTTTACACTCTGTTGGCTGGGGCTTCAGAATATGCAACTGCACCTCTGCAGAGAGGTAAGACCCCCTGCCAAATGAGAGATCCTGGGCAAGATGATAAACTATGTCCAACAGTAAGGCCTCTGATCAAGAGGTTTTGAGGTGCTGGAACCACCTCTTAATTGCTGGTGTTCCCAGGTCCACCTTGACCCAGGGTGGTAGCACCTGTTAGGGTCCCAGCTATAGGCAAATAGTTAAGTCAGAAGAATGTGTCCTGGGTATGACGATAAACTACATCTGCATCCTGGGTAAGACATTAAACTACATCCGACAGCAAGGTCTCTGACCAGAATGTTTTGAGGAGCATGGAACCACCTTTTAATTGCTGGTGTTCCCAGGTTCACCCTGACCCAGGGTGAAAGCACCTGTTAGGGTCCCAGCTATGGGCAAATAGTCAACCCTCAAACGGGTCAAAATCGCTGTGGAGGTGTAAAAATAGGTATTATTACCAGCAATGCATTTTTGAAGAAAGAGTTATTACCAGCAATATAGTTTTCAAGGAAAAGTTATTATCAGAGATACAAAATTGAAGGAAAAATTATTACAAACAAAATACATTTTTGGAAAAAAAATATTACCAGCAATACATTTTTGGAAAAAAAATATTACAAGCAATACATTTTTGGGAAAAAAATATTACCAGCAATACATTTCTTTGGAAAAATATTATCAGCTATTCATTTTTAGAAAAATATTACTAACAATACATTTTTTTTGGAAAAATATTACCTGCCGTAGATTTTTAAAGAAAAAATATTACCAGAAATAGATTTTTGAAGGGAAAAACATCACCAGCAATACATTTTTGAAAGAAAAAAGAAGAAAAAAAACATTTACCAGCAATAAAACTTTTATCAGCATTAAATAACCTGACAAAACAAAAATATCTTGAAATACTAAAGAGTAAATTTATTCAATAAAATGGCCATTGGCTTCAACCACTGCCTGCAAACGACTTCAGAATCTCCTGCATCTCTTCTGGATGGTCTCCTTGTTTAAGTTGGTGAATGATGTCATAATCTTTGCCTTCAGTTCATCTTTGGTATTACAAGGAGTTTTGTTGGCCTCTCACTCAACTTTGTCCCACATATAATAATCAAGAAAGTTGCAGTCTGGGTTGCAGTTAAATGGCCAAATGGAAGGGGTGATGTGGTTGCAGAAATTGTCTGACAGCCATGACTGGGTTTGCTTGCTTGTGTAACTTGATGCTGAGTCCTCTTGCCACATATAGGATCTTCCAATAGCCACTCTTTTGATCCAGGGCAGCACTACCTTCTCAATGATGTATGCCTCTGTGTTGAGTCTGAGGCCCTCACCAACAAAGTCAGAAGTTATTTTCTTATGAGAATGATCAAAGTGTGTTTTTCAATCTGCTATACATTCATAATCACCATAAGACTCATCCAACACTTTCCAAATCCTCTGCACTGTCACCAGATTGACACCTAAACACTGAAATGTTCATATTGGAGCTTCTGGTGCAAATGCCAAGTAGTACAGCATGCCGTTTCCAAATTTCTGGTGGAATGAATTGCATCAAAGTGGTCTTTTTCTCACAGACAGACGGTGCCCAACTGACCTTACTATACTGTGCAAGCAACAAATTCAAAAACAAACAAATATGCATGAGATTAAAAATATAAAATGGCGAAAATTTACCCATTGCACCCTGTATTATTGTCTTGGATTTAGTATTCATACCATAAATGTTTGAATATCTCTTTTAATCCACTTGTTTTTCATTTGTAAGAAGCTAAAACAGGAACAGTCAATTCTTCACCTTATGAAAAAAATTAAAGCTAGTAATTTTTTTCTTCTTAACAGTTGTCTCCCTTTCTACCTGGAAGCACATCCATTTAGTTGCAAACAGGACTTAACCTGTTTAGTTAATAGGTATCTGTTATCCAACCTTTGCAATACAGCTGTTGACCTGAAAACCTTCAGCTCCTCTACCCTGATACAATCTGTGTGAACAGAAAAGTGTAGACTCTCCCTGACTGAGATAAGAATGTACTGACAAACTGTTTTGAACCGAATGTAAAGTTAACATTTTAAGCCAGTCATGCTATACAGCAACCACGTGATTATCTAACTATTTGTTCTGATCAACATAGTTTTCAGTTTTCTAATAAGATGTTCATTTTTTGTTCTTTTTTTGTCTTTATTTTTATTAGACTAAATTAAATATGCAAACATCTTCAGTCTATAAGAAATTTGATTTTACAAGCATATCAAGTAATGCCAGAAAGCATGAAAATAAAATAATAAGTTGATGATATAAACAGCATTAAATAAACTAATAGAATTAAAGCCTTTAAACTGATTACAGCCCTCATAGCTCAACTTATGTATATTTCATATACAGGTACAACAACAATTTTTCAAAGCTGGATCGACCAAATCAGTTTAAATCTAATTCAATAACATTTTTCTAATTCTCAGCACTCGATTTTATACTCAATATTTTTTTATTCCAAAGCTTATTTGCTTTTTGAAATAACTGTTTACATAAAATTTCAATATTCTGTCTCTCTTGTCTTTTTTATAGCATTTAAATCAATGCTATTACATGTTACACAATGACGGAAACCAATTTTTTCTCCAGCCCTTTAACTTACTCTTAAATCACTATAGACTTGTTTTTATCTTTAGCATCACTATAAACCAGTGATTCTCAACCCCCATGCCATGGCACACTAGTGTGCCATGTGATATTCTTAAGTGTCTAGTGAAATATTGTCACAGCATGTGCATATATATATATATATATATATATATATATATATATATATATATGTGTGTGTGTGTGTGTATGTGTGTGTGTGTGTACGTATGTATGTGTGTGTACGTATGTGTGTGTGCGTGTACGTATGTATATATATGTGTGTGTGTGTGTGTATGTGTGTACGTATGTATGTGTGTGTACGTATGTGTGTGTGCGTGTACGTATGTATATATATGTGTGTGTGTGTGTGTGTGTGTGTGCATGTGGAAGTAGTAATGATACAGTGTTAGTATTTGAATAAGTATTAAACTTTTTTTCTTTTTCTTTTTTCAAATAATTCTTTTCACTATTCTTTGATTTTGTTTTAATATTCATTTTTTAATAGTATTTTTAAATCCATGGATTTATTTCATAACATTTAAATACATACCCTTTAAAAATTTTGCTAAGTGTGCCATGATATTTTCATTTGCTGTGTGCTGTTACTTAAAAGGGCTAGGAAACACTCTGCTATAAACACTTGTTTCTCTTTTTAAAAGTCATGGCTATCAATACAAGTACTTGTCATATAAATTATTCTGATGATTACAAGAATATCAAGTACTACTATATCGGTGGTTGATTATATTTAAGCGTTACACAGTGAATTGTTCATGTATGCCATACATCAGATTGAAATAGAATGCTTCTGTTTCGAAATTCTGGTATAATTTTGATAATGTCTGTAAATGAGATTAAAACTGAATGGTTGGTCTGTTGTGTATTCATTTTTATTTCTTGTTGGTGGACTGACTTTATCATAATACTAAAGTGGATGCAAATGAGTTCTTGTGCATTGTTAAATCTTTGCCTCAGGTCGTTCCATTGTCAAGAAATCTTGCTGGGTCCCTTTGTGCCAGAGCCAACTCTGGTCTAGTGCTGCATTTGTGGTCTTTCTTTGCTTTTTGCCCAAGGTTAGGGTTGTAATATTGGCTGTTAGGGTATGTGGCCAGCTGTGTTATCAGCAACCACACCTTCTCCACTCTGTTCCAGTTCACCCCTTTCCAGGAAATGGTGGCTCAGTGGACAGATAAAGCACTCAAATACCCGTCCTGCCAGCCAAATAAATGTTGATATCTTGTACCTTTTACCCTTTGAAATGCAGTAACTACCAAGAAATATCCTCCTGAGTTCCTTCAGCTTAGAAAAGATGGAGAAGTGGGAAATGAGGAACGTGTACAAGTGACATTACTAACAGGCATGTGACTGTGACAGGACACATATTTCTTTCTTTCCCTCTTACCTATTTCCTCTTTCTTTCTCCTCCTCTGGTTTTTACATTCATTTTCTATGCTGCTACTTCATCTTCTTCCTACCACACTTTCTTCATCCTATATCTCTTTCTCCTCATCTTCTCAGTGTTGCTTATTCCTTTCCTATAATCTCTACTCTTACCATCTTTCTCTCTTCTCTAAAACTTGAATTCTCTCTTTTTCTTCTTCTTCATCATCACATTTAAATTCAGTTTTTCTTTCTTCTACCCCTTAAATCCCTTTTTCTGTTATATGCTACCTTAACAATAACCTGCACATTTGAAAAATTTTAATTTTCGTCCAATTCAAATTCACCTATTGAACCCAATTCTTTTTATTGCTGGAATAAAATCTGATTCCTGAAATGTTAATTTTTGCTCTTTTGGCTTCCTTACTAATTCATCAAAATTACACACAAGTTACAATAGAAGAAAAATAATGCAAATATTATTTAAATGATTTTTAAATTGATTGATTTTTACATGACCTGTTTTCTTAATTTCAACAAATTTTAGAAAAATTACTGATATAACTTTATTTTTTCCTTCTTCATTTTAATTTTTAAGTACACTAATTTATTCAAAAACAGAAACTGCATAAAATAACATGGTCATGTATTTCTTCTTACTATAAATATATTTACTGAGTAGACATTTATGTAGATATTGCCTTTTTCTTTTCTTATTAACAAAATGTAAATCATGTCTACTGACCCAGGCATTCAATAGTTTAAATAAAGAAATTGTGCCATTCAGTAGAGTTTGAACCTACATTCTTGTATTAGGAAAACCTCCTTTAAGCTGGGTATGCTTTAAACTACTCAACCACGACAGACTTCACAATAAAGCAAAACACAATTGCTATTTTTAAGAAATGCACATCTCTCATTGAGAGGTTTTGAGGCCTCTTTATTTTTTTTATCTGAAATGTAAACAAATTAATCTCAAAGAAATTAATGGATTATATTATAATCTGATATCATTTCCTACTATTATAAACAGTATATTAGGGAATACACCAGTTTGAATAGACATTGCTTTTTTGGGGGGGGGGGCTTCTTTTTTTTCTTTTTCATTCTTTTATTTTTCCTTTTGCTTTTATTTTTATTTTGCTTTTATTTCGCCTTTGCTTTTTTCTCCTTTTTCTTTTTTCTCTTTTTATCTTTTTCTCTCGTCTCTTTTTTCTTTTTCTTTTTTTACACTCAGATATAGTAGATATTTCATAAGTTTAGTTAGATTGTACATCTTGAATTATTTGTATGGAAAACACCTTTCAGCTGTAGGTGTTATCCAATGAATAAGTTAAATTGTAAGAGAGTTAAATTGTGACATTGATTTTAAAACTTCTTGTTTATGTTTGAGTCATGTGTCAAAATTATTTTCTTAACTGATCATTACAAAAGAAAAACGGATTAAGATTGAGTAATTTGTATATTTAAATAACAACAATGCTGTAAAGATATATAGGATAGAAATGACAAAAATAGAGATGACAGTTTGAATAAATTGTTGTCTATGACACTGATAGGCTTTCCAGATGTTAGGAATGATCAAATGCAATGATAACAGTATAAAAAAAAAATATTTATTCAAACTTTTTAATGAGATTAGTTGTAAAGTCTCACCAATCATATCTTTAGGCTGTGAGGTTTCATAATGACTTAAGTGTTTTCATCAGTAGTTATTAAATATGTTTTTGGTTTTCCAAAATACTCACAAGTAGAAACATTTTAATTAAAAAACATTTATTTTAAATTCTCAACTTTAACCCATACTCTCCTGGCATTGGTTTAAACTGTTGTCTTTTTTTTCTCTTTATATTATAACCATTAGCTTAAAATTTTATATTATTTTTTATTGATTTCAGGTGAAAACTTGAAAAATTTCCATTATATTTTACTGCAATTTACACTTCCCTAAATTATAGTTTATAATTTAGATATATGGCAAAAAGAAAGCTTCAGTTTACACTGACATCTTAAAATTAGAATTTGCTAAATTATCTCAGAAACTCTTAAATACATAGACAATAGCAGGTGCCCTTGCTTAGTAAAATACACATTTTACTTAGATTAGTTATAGGTTTTTTATTTTGTTTTTGTTTTTTTTATTTGAACCAACATTTTTATAAAAAGTTATTACCACAAATATTGACTAAATCTTTACATTATGAAATCAATCCTTATCCTAGATATTACTTTTCTGGTTTTGTTTGCAGAAGACAAAGACTTGAATTTTGTTGCCTGTTATTTTGCTATGTTATTTGGTTTGCCTTCTGTATGGAAAACTTCATTCGGTGATGTGTATTGGGCCAATGTAAAATGGCCAACATGCTGTGATTTTGTTTCACTGTCAATATTTTTTTTTTCTTCAAGGTTTTAAGTGTTACTGTTTTAATCAACTTGACCATTCATCTGTCACAGTTGTCATATGGTATGAAACCACATGACCACCTTCTACTGTTTAGTCATTATCACAAAATTCATGATTAATTTTCTCTTTCATTTTCTAGAAAAATATACAGTTTCCTTATAAAAATCACTGACATTATTTACATAAGTAAATACTATTCATTTTTGGAAAATTTATCCTAGAAAGCAGTTTTGGTGACAATTTTTTTTTTTTTTTAAATAATAAAATAAAGCTCAAAATTAGAAAAGAAGGACTAAATTTGGACAAAATTTCTTGGATGATATTTATGGAAATTAGGTAAACATTTTTAGGATTTATCTTATATATAAAATTAATTTTTGTCTATATTTCTGAGATAAGGTATTGTAACTATCTATGCTATTCAGACTATTGTCCTCATCATGATGTTTTGGCCATTGTATGCACTGGCCTTCTTCAGGTCATTGATATACATTGAAATTTTGAACCAAACCTTTTATTTTGTCCACTGGGCTAGATTGTTCTAGTTCCATGTGTTACGCCTTTTCTGGAATTGAGTTACTAAAGGGAATTAACTGAAACAGAGATATCCAGAAAAGGTATGACACATGGAACTGGAACAATTTAGCCCCATGGACCAAATAAAGGGTTTGGTTTGAAATTCCAATGTATATCACCTGAAGAAGGCCAGAGAATACAACAGCCAAAATGTCATGAATATGACAATAAAAATGAGGACAATAGTCTGAACAATGTAAATAGTGTAAAGATTAATATTGCCTTGGTGTTTGAAACCATAAAAATCTAACTCTATCACTTCATTTGCAAGCTAACATTTCAGAGTGTGTTATTCAAGAATTTATAATTGAACAGAAGTTCTGAAAATTTGACTTCACTTCTTTCTTAAAATTTGTATGCAAATTCTGGTAAGATTGTTCTTATGATTTGGGTATAAAAATTCTAGCTCATTTTCTCAAAATTGAAAATTAGCCAAAATAAAGGACTAATAGCCTCTTAAGCTTCAGTTAAACCTTAGCTTAAAAATAAGAGGAATTTACTTCCAGATTTTTAAAGTCATTTGCAATAAAATAAAAATAACTAATTTATTGCTAGATTTTTATACTGTAAATCTGCTGGAATTAAATCATTTTTCTGTTACTTTTATTAGTGCAGAAAACATTGTGAATGATTTGTTTTGAATTTATCAGCAGTGTTTTTATTTCTGTCTTTGCTCCATTGAGCAACACAAGTCTTTGTAAACAAGGAATTAGCATTATGGATTTGATTGGCCACTACACACACACACACACACACACACACACACACACACACACACACATATATAAAATCTTTATACTACTTTCTTCATGGTTGGTTGGATTCTGTTGTTTAAATATTGTAAAAATAAAATATGGCATAAATCCTTTTTTTCTTTTACTAAATGTTCTCTCAATACAAAACGAAAGTCTCTCGAAGCAGGGTGAATGAATGAGATTATTGTATGGATGTAAAAGCAGGAAGTAAGTGCATATTATAAGGATATGTATAATGGTTAACCCTTGACTTGAAATAGTTAAGATTTTAGTGATCATGGAAGCCAATTAAATTGAAAATGATGTATAAGGAATAAAGTCATAGGGGCTTGCTTCGATCCTTGTTGGTATTAACATGTTAAAGATGCATTTTGTATCTATATCATAAATAATGTATATCTATATTTTATTTACATTGGAAAGAACAATCATTACACTGATCTTTTTATATTGCTTTTTAGTAATCTTTGTTTAAATCATTTTTCTATTTCCTATTTTAATTACGTATTATAACGATTTTCTAAGTGTAGCTTAGATGTGGCACAAGGCCAAAATATGGAGCACCCAGTGAGGATCAAACTCGCTATTCAGTTGTAATTATTCTAGTGAGACAAGCTTGCTAACCATTACACTGCCCTAATTATGTATTATAATGAAAAAATAAATCTATAAAATTTTGGTTACCAATATTTCATAGTGATCCCATGCCATTTTTCTCTTTTTTCTTTCTTTTTTTTTCTTCTTCTTTTTTTTTTCCTTCTTCTTTTTCTTTCTTCTTTCTTTGATCTTTCTTCTTTCTTTTTCTTTCTTTTTCCTTTTTCTTTCTTTTTCCTTTTTCTTTCTTTTTCCTTTTTCTTTCTTTTTCCTTTTTCTTTCTTTTTCCTTTTTCTTTCTTTTTTTTCTTTCCTTCCTATTTTTTCTTTCTTTTTTTTCTTTTTAAAATCTCTTTATTCTTCTTTGTTATTATTTGTTCGCTTTCCTTATCATCAAATCTTATCCATCTGCCAATCTCTCTGCGTACTCCAGGGTTCTAAGGGCACAGAAGTGTTAGTTATTCTTTCCATTGTTGACATGTTGATGGCAAACAATGTTTTAATGTTGGCACCAAATCTTCTCAATGCATATCTGGCATTCTCCGCCAAATGACATTGCTCTTTGACTTTTTCTACAGAAAGTCTGATATATTTGTTCCATTTGAATTGACAATATCTCTAGTATGTTACATGTCAGTAATAAACCAATGCTGTATCTTGCATTTGTTTGAAACCTTGCCATCTTGTTTACTACTTCAGATTTGCCAAGATTCTCCTAAATCATGGCAAAATAATTTCCATGCAACTTTATACTTTTTACACTGAAGAGTATAAATGAAGCGCTAAACCAGATAAATGAGTCATCTGAATTAAATAGTCTATACATCCTTAAAAGCTAGTTTAATTACTTCAGGCTGATATGGTGCCACTAATTTTCTACATACTTTGCACAATTTTTTCAATCAGGATCTAACCAACTCCTATTTCAGCAATACGTGTGTGTGTGTGTGTGTGTAACTCACCAACCTACTCACATACACACGCACTAGGAGTGATAAAAAAAAAAAATTCTCAACCCAGCCCACATCCCATCAACAGTTAATAAAGATTGACTATTTTGATGATCAATAGATTAATCATCAAAATATTGATTTTTAAGAAATGTTTTAGTCTGAGAACTTTTCAGCACTTCATCACACACAGTTTATGCAGGCCATTAAAAATGACAACATGCTTTGTATTTCACATTCTTAGCCACTTAGTTTTATAAATATATAATATAAATGCTTATTGGAAGCTAAAGTTTTACACTATAAGCCAGTCATTTGCAGACACCATCTGGATTTTAGTAAGTTTCCTACCTTTTTTGGTTTAGTTAATTCCTACTAAGATATTGAAACTATTTAACCCATTAGTATAAGTGAATTCAATTTTTTAGAGAGGGAGTTGCATAAAATTTATTTTTAGCCAGCCAGATGGATTAGGCAAAAGAGCTAAAATTTTAAGGGGACTTTATACAGTAATGGGCTAATTTTATTATTATTATTATTACTGAACATAAAAAAACCCTTTAGTAATAAAAACCTTTAAGAAGTAAAAGTTTCTCTGGTTTGAAGTGAGATAGTAAATTAGTTTTGAAAAAGGCATGCAACCTTCAATTTTTATATGATTCATCGAAATCTAAAGGGTGTCCCCAAACTTTTGGCTTCTACCATATTTGAAGAAGGAAGGCAACATCTATCTGCACACTTAGGGTGAAAGCTGATTTCTTCTACATAGATGTAAACGAATGGCAACCTGGTTTACAAAATGTCCAAAATTTTAAAATCTCAAATGTGTTGTAAGTTTGAAGCTCACTAGGATCACTAGGCTGATTTAACAGATTAATTAATTAGGCTGATTTAACAGATTAATTATTATTAATTAATTGTTATTTAACAGAAATGCTTAATAACTTACAAAAAATGATTGGCAGTTACTATTGAAGTGATACAGGACTGATAAGGGCAACTTGCAGACTTTATCTTAGGATGGTGTGTCTTTCATCAAGAGAAAAGTTATAAAAAATCCATATTTGTCAAGCTAAGAATTTTTTTAGATAGTGAGGAAGTTTTGAAAAGCACAAAATGTCAAATTGCAAAATCTGTGTGACCAATCAGTAGGCTTCCTTTTTTTTTTTTTTTTAAAGTTAAAAATTGAATGAATACATGAACCACTAATTTTTCAACCATTCTTTTCACCATTCTTAATGAGTCTTAGTAGCTACTAATGGAAGTCACTCTCAAAAATGAGATATCAATTAACTGGAAATGATGTGAAGTTTTAGAATGAGATTATAGAAGTGGTAGGTTCATGGTTAGTTCCAAATGGTATTAATAGTATTTTTTTTCTTTAAGGCACATATGGAGCTATGGTTCAAGAATCCATATTCTTTCAGAAAGATGTTTTTTTTTTTTATGCAGGACAATGCTCCATATCATTTGGCAAATCAAACTAATGAATGTCTGAATAAAGTAGATTTTAAAGACCTTCATTTGAAGCTGCTAACTTGTTTACGTAACCATAACCAGATTGGAAACTCATAGAGCTTTTCTGAAGAGTGATTTATATTGGCAGATGACAGTTTACCAGCCAAGATGAACTCTGGAATCATATTCTCAATGTTCTGCATTCTTTCATATGAACAAATACAGCCACTCAGAAAATCAATGGATAAACAATTTTTGAACTAGTTTCAGAACATGTAGCATGCATTTCCCATTTAATGTCATTTTTATAATTGTTATCATTATAATGAATCTGTTTGCAAAATATTTGTATTTGTAAACTTTGCACACATTCTGTAATTTTTAATTTTCAATTACATCATAACCTGGCTGTTAATATAAAAGTTGGGAAATCTGGTAAAATTCATAAAACCATTGCTGCATTGTAAGAGTGACATATAGTCTTTTATAATTTATGCATAATAAATGAAATATTATACACATTAATAGTACAAATATTTCTGTGATTATCTTCATTATTTTTCTAGAAATTAAGAAAAATTAAAAGCAAATAATGATGTGAGACACAGTAATTAAGAGATATATGAAAGTCTTTAAATATATTTTTTCTATTATTTTTCTTGTACTCTGCTCTTTCATGAAGTTGGTCTTTTGACCTCCCAGCTCTATTGCCATAACAAAGACAGTAACACCTGGCAGTACAGTAAAAGAAAACAAATTAGATAAAAAAAATATACAAATATACATGGCATATTATGTATAATGTGTGTGTATTTGTAACACTTTTCACAGCACATAGATACTAAACTTTGATCTTCGGCTGAAGTGAAAGATGATGTCATCCCTGCCTGTGACAGATTGCACAACTCCTATGACTTAAGAATTTTAGTTGCATCCCTACAAATAGCCCATGCTGCTGAGGGAGGGGTGATTTTACCAAGAATCTCTAGATTGATTGCCAACCTAGCATAAAGAGCTTTTTATTTGCCCATTAGCACAACAAACAACTGCTTCTAAATAGTTTTGTCTACTCAGTTTCACACACAAAAGTTGGGTCATCACATAGCATGGCTTTGAGGCAAATTCCGATAGTGCTACACTATGTGATCATCTCCCCCCTAGGACAATATTATCAAGATCTCCAGGAACAATATTATCAAGATCTTACCTTCTTGACTTAATTGACTAAGGTGAGAATTGAGACCCAGGTCTTGTGGTCAGAATGCTAACACTTTAACTGTTCAGCATACACCTACTAGGCAGAAGTGCTGAGCCATAAATGATTCCCTCATTTTTTATAGGTACTATGATGGTAGTAAAATAATGACTGAATGTGTTATTTAAGAATAAATGTTACATTGTATTGAATTTTAAAATTGGCATGCTTGATTAACATCAATCAATTATGCTTAATTGAAATGAAAATAGATTAAATTTTTAATAATTGCTTATCTAATCAGAAATTTTCTTTATTATTTTCCCAAGTAAGTCTAAAAAGCTAACATTATTTTTTTAAACCTGTACGACAAATGAAATGTTTTAGCAATATTTTTGTTTTTTAATAGAAAATTGATACTTCATGTTAGTATAAGTGTGTTTTTATAACATACACACACACACACACACACATATATATATAAATAAAATATATGGTATGTACCAGGCAATCCATCTCTCACAAATCCTTCTGTATTCATTGATGGTACAGCATTAAAAACTGTTGAGGCGTTCACATATCTTGGATAAACAGTCTCTTCTGATGGAAAAATGGACAGAGAAATTTAATCCAGAATAGCCAAAGCCAGTACAGCATTCGGTAAACTTAAACATAGGTTATGGAACACCAAAGATATGTCTCTCAGAGTAAAGATCAACATATACAGATCAGTTGTTCTCTCAACCCTTCTCTATGGTGCTGAAACTTGGACCCTGTACCACAAAGCATATAAATCAACTTGACACCTTTCACATGCACTGTCTTCATGCCATATGTGATATAAAATGGGATGACAGGGTCAAGAATAGTGCAATACTGAAGAAATGGAACATCATAGGCATTGAAACCATTCAAGCAAAGATACAACTTAGATGGGCTGGTCATGTTATGAGAATGGATGAGCATAGACTTCCAAAAAAGGTGCTGTATGGACAACTAACAAACTTCAAGTGTTCAGTTGTACATCCACTCTTACACTACAAAGACAAATTGAAAGACAACTTGAAACATTTCAACTTTGATCTGAAAACCTGGGAAGCCCAATCATCAAACCGAAAGGAGTGGTGTAAGGCACCTTTCGTTAAGCTAAAGGGTTTTGAAGACAGTAGACTGAAACACTGTGATCAGCTTCATCAAGCTCTGAAGCAGAGATGCCATCAAAATCCTGCTTTAACAAATTTTATCTGTCAGTGTGGCTTTGTTACCTGCAGGAAGGCTGGGCTAGTATCACACTTAAGAAAGCACAAATGAAATCTGTCTTTCCTCTAACCTGATTTTCTCCACAATACTCCCTGCTAGCATGCATAAGTGTAAAACAAAAGGCACCATCCAATATTGATCCTCATTTAACATTCACAATAGGAGAGTCCATGGGTTAAAGTGCATAGTATCAGAGATAGTGTATGTAAATGCAAAAGTGGACATTGAAGTCAACACCCTGCGGTGACAGACTGTTTCATGCTTATATGCAATCATCTGATGATTGTGTATAAGCATGAAATAGACTGTCACCACTGGGTGTTGGCTTCAATGCATTCAGTTTTTATTTTATTTTATATTTATTATATATATATATATATATATATTTTCATTCAGATGTAACCAAAATATTTATCTGTAAGAGTGAAAATGTAAAATGTGAATAATGACAAAAGGAAAACTTATCTTAACTGATGCATTTCATCTTCTAATGGACTTTCTCGGGGCAAATGTACAAATTTTATTTTGCAGAAGTATTTATATACAAAAGTAAAAATGTTG